CCCCAAAACCCCAAAACCCCAAAACCCCATGTGTGAAAAATCAATATAAATAGGTGAATATCGGTGGTTTAATAATTAAATTATTTGAATAGAATATTAATTGGAGTGGGATGATAAGTCCTTAGTTCTTGAACATGCTAGGATCCTTGTAGAACCTCTACGATGACACCAACCTCAACGATTCTTCGTACATTCTTTGTATTCTGGCTTTGATAGTCAGTCTCAAGATTATCTCTAATTACCAGACTGAAAAAATGCGATTCCACTATAACAAATAAAGCACATTAATGAGAGAATTTGTGAAAACCTCAAAGATTAGAGAGTATACTTACACTCCTTATTGGTGCACACTCAATGCCTTCACAAACTGCATGATATTCCTATTCTGCGAATTAGCATCTAAGTTAATGAAGCCTGTCAAGTATGAAAGAGAGCTATTCACTCTTTCGGATGGCGGTACAATTGCCTTAGATTGGATTGTTGATCATGAAGGCGGTCTTCCTAAAAAACACTCACAAAGACCAGTAATCTGCATGATGTCTGGACTCAGCGGAGGAAACGATAACCTTTACCTTATATCTCTTGTTAAGGAGGCTATGAGGCTAGGCTACAAATGCGTTATCATAAACTACCGTGGGACCTCTGGAGTTAAGCTGACGTCATCTAAAATTTACTGGATGAATCAATGGGAGGATGTTAAGGAACCCATCGATTACATCAGTCAGAAGTACTGCAGAGGAGAAGAATATCTCAAGAGAAGTCTCTATGGCTATGGTGCCAGTCTTGGAGGATAATTCCTCTCTAGTTATCTTATCCACGAAGGACAAAACTCTGTTTTAGACGGAGCCATTACCTATGGGCAGCCATTTAACTTGAAAGATAACGTGGAATTCTTTAAGAAAAATTGTTTCAAATTTTTTGACTTTGGAATGGGCTTCATTTACTCACTAGTGCTGTAGCATGATATAATGCCAGACCTCAAAAACTACATATCCCAAGAGCAGTACAATCAAATGTAAGAAAATATTAAGAAGCACAGATGCAGTCTAATGGATTTGGACTAGAATGTCTTGATTCCATATGTGGGATACAAGGATCTTAATGAGTACTATAACTACACCTAGGCCCAAGGAAAGATTCATAAGATAAGAACACCTATTATGTTTCTTAACAGCGAAGATGATCCCTGCATCTAGAAAGAGCTTTACCCTTTCAAGGAATGCGAGGGTAATGAATTTACTCTACTAGCCATGACCAAGAGAGGTGGTCATTGCAGTCACATTACCGGTGGAGTGAGACCATTCTAGTGGTTCTCTGCACCCTGTATGGAGTTTTTTGAATTCTTAGAGAATAAGAAAAGAGCCACCACAAAAGTCGAATGATTAGTGCATAAGACTGGTGGGTTCTTATTAAGCGAGTGAGGATTTAGAGATCCTCCTCCCCTACTATTAAGTACTATCACTCATTCATATGAATCTGTTACTGAGACTCTCTGACTCTTTATCAGGTAGTGATTGTTTGTTAGCTATCTAAATATCGATATTCACTTAGTTTGTATTAGATATTATCAAGCTTATTCATTTAAATAATCATTTTCTATATTAAACTATCCAGATTTCTCTTTTTATATTTCCAGTTTATGTCTCGATCTGACTCACTTGGGGTTTTGGGGTTTTGGGGTTTTGGGG